TCTTCACAAAAGTCAACAAGTGCTGTGTGACATGGACTTATAAAGTGTGCGCACATATGCAGATGTATGGATGTGTGTTCAACTCTGTACTCTCAACAGAAACCCAGACAGTTTTTAGTTTTTTTTTTATGCATTTGTTTACGTCAATGAGTGAATTCCATTGCAACATGTCTGCCCGGTTGAGTGAGCATGCCTGGGATTTTTTTTTTTTTTAAAGTGCCTGCATACTTGATCGTAAGGGGAGGGAGACTGAAACACAGAGGGAAACATAAGAAGGAAAACACTAAGAGATGCGAGAAGTCGGCTGTCTGGCATGCGGCTCCTGACAGGAAACTCAACACAATGTGGCTGTGTTGCAGATGAACAAGCAGAGCTGGATTTTTGTGGCTTCATTATTCTTGAAACCAACCTTGGGCAAACAAGACATTAGTGACCTGACCTACTCTGATGAAAAGCATTCCGCTTGGTGCTGCGGTACATCACCGGGTTAAGAGCACACCACGTGTCCTTGCCAGAGCCACCTGGGTTCAAGTCTGGCCCGAAACCCTTTGCTGCATGTCGTCCCCTCCCTGCCTTTTTTTTGTCTGTCTCTGCTGCCCTGCAAATAAAGTGAAATGCCAAAAAAAGAAAAAAACACACAATAGAATATTATAAAGCGTTCTGTTACAGATCTTTGTCTGAGTATTAACGTATCTGTACACAGCAGCTGGTGTAGCACAAACAGGCAAGCTTGGCCAATAAGAGAAACCAATTTCAATGTGTACGTATGAAAGTATCAAACAACGTTAAAGTTACATGAGTATAATGAGTGATAATCTTTGACATTTTCACACTGGTTTGCACAAAACCCTTTCAGCCCTCTTATCATAAAATCTTTCATTTACTAATCTTTGGTACACCGATTGATGTGTTTTATATTTTGGACAGCAGCTAAAGTGGCAGAGAGAGCAACTACAGAAACTTTCTACAAAAGAAAACCCAAAGCCAGCCTAAACTGACTGATCACAGTGAGCATGAACAGTACCAATCTTGTAACCAGGATTTTAAAGAATAAAATGGAATGCATACCCTGGGAATTTGTGTTTAATTGCAAACATGACTTGACTTCCACAAATGTTTTTAACAGGTTCTTGTTGCATTACAGTGCTTGTTACAGTTACAATGTTTATTTTCCCTCCAAATCAACAGAATTTACAGTTAGAAATGTTTTAATATACACCTACAATAAATATCAACTCGCTTGAAGAGAATTCTGTACAAATAAGTGTAGGGATCTTGACGAGGTAAAGCAGACACTAAAATAAAAACAAATTAATATAAATATTAAAAAACAAAACAAGTTCAAATGATCTCACCGCACATAAGCATGCAATTGTTTTGTAAATGACTTGATAAAATTGTTATTGTGTTAAAGTTCTCTGGAAAAACAATCAAGAGTCATTCTAAGGTGAACTTTTCAAAAACACATGGTTGACAAGACATCAATGAAAACCCTCATTGTCAAACCGAAAACTGTTAAACCTGTTCCAATGCATCCGGCCCAACCCATGTATAGTATGTGCATGAAATAAATGGCTATTTAACTCCTCATCCAAAAATCTTATTTATATGTCTATTTGACCAGGAAATCACTGTTTAACCAGAGAGAAATTGTAACTGAAGGTTACACTATAGCCACATGACAATACTGTATGTTAAGTATTTTTATAGACAATTCTACTACAATAGTTCCAGCTCTCATATACACACGCACACCCACAGTGCCACAGTTTATCATGGGGCGACGGGCTGTTATAGAAATGAATAAAGTGTAAGTGAAAACTAAAGCAGACACTATACTCTTTCCCAGGGTGCATGCAAGCAGAAGTGTACAGGTATACACGCTCACGTCTTTTCCTGTCAATATTAGTAAACCACAATGTAAAGAAAACATAGTCGAAAGGAAAACAAATGTCACTTTCACCTGTGTGACATTGTCAACAAGCCACCACATCTGTAAAACAAACAGTTTTATTAACGTACATGGACGGGACGATGACAAGGTGGCTAATAATATTAAGTGCCATGAAAAATTTAGTTTCCTTTGCTCTGCTAGATCATTTGTGGCAGCACTATGCTGAAATGTATACACAAGCTGTTATTATCAGAGTAAATAGTGTGGACAAACACTGTAAGTAACTTGAGTAAAAATGAGAAAGTATCTCATTAGTGAGCTGATTATGATACTACTTCTGGCAGCCAAAGTTAACACAAGCACATAACTGACTCATCTCAACTCAGTTTGTTTCTCTCTCTCTCTCTCTCTCTCTCTCTCTCTCTCTCTTGCTCTTCTGCATATTACACTTAATTTAATGCTCGCTACCATCCATCAATAACAATGTTGGTTCTGTATACATGTTTTAATCTGGAAAGCCCTTAATGCTTAAGCTTGAAAAGTGCTTTACAAATACAATTATCATTATCATAAAGCTTTAGCAATATTGCTTGGATAATAACACAATGAGAAAAGGGAGGAGTATGTAAATATTTGGTAGCCTGTGTGGTAATTGCGTTTAGTGTTAGATGTGTAGATGTAAATAAGCACAGTGTAAACAGACGGCTATTATTATATCTGCTCGTCAGCTCAGTGTCAGTAAGTGCTCCAATGTACTGCCCTCCTAGGGAAGCCTAGGAAGCAATGGGGCCCTAAGCACAGTGCTTAATATGTGTATAAGGGGTGGATTCTGACACTAAAGGACGTCCATAGACCGGCAGCCAGTTTAATGAGCTTCTAGTTTTGTCTACGCATAAACTTAGATAATATACTCTCGGACAGTAAATGACTTTACTGAGCTTTCAGCTGTTGGTCCTATCTGATCTCTACTGCCTCCATATGATGGCTTTAAAAGTAAAACTGAAATCAACAAACAGGCCTCCGTCATTGTTTGAAATACCAGAATTCTGGGATGTAAACTGACCTTAAACTGATCTGCTCCTTTTTTTTTAAATTATGTATTTTAAGGTGAAAACTGACAAAAACAAAAAATGAGTCAGGTCTTACAAATTATCTACCTTCTGTGACTCACCTCACCTGAATGTACAATCATGATACATTTGTGTAAAGAAGAGTTTTGTACTACGGATGCTACACATACATTTCTAATGACATCCTTCGCAACCAAACAGGTTTAACACTGTGAGTAAATTACCAAGAATTTCATGTCCTCATATGACTCACAGTCCATGCCATTGTTCTTTCTCTTTGTACGGTTGTACGCAACATTTTTCTGTTCAGCCAAACATATTCATGATCATTAGGCCATATAAATTGACTATAGTAACTGTTTATGTTTTTTTTTATTTAGCACTTACATTGGAATGTTCCTTTTATCACTGTCACTGTCATCTTTTAAAATTTTATGCGACATAAAAACACAAATCCCACAATTTGAGGTCTTAGGTTAGTGATATGAAAAACAATGTGGCATATTACTAGGGACGTTCCAGAAAAGAAAATTAACCCGTTCTGTCGAAGTTAAAAGAAGAGAATTCGGCATTTACTGTGCTCACAAAAATAACCTGCTCCAGAAACCAGTTTTCAAGATAGCCTGTGTCTAGCTATATGGCTGATGAACTTGCTACAACCGATCCCACTGATGCACTCATCTTCACCTGTTTTACAACTAGGGCTGCCTGATATGGTAAAAGAAACACATTTTAAGATAAGTCATGGTTTGTTTTAACCATAATGAAAACACAGTGAACCATGAAAAAGGTTAGAACTGAATTAGTCCCTACCCCCTTTACATTTAAAATTGAAGAAAGTCACTGCAAGTAGCTTCCCATATTCTTTTTGTGCCAATGCTGGAACAAAGTAGCTCTAACAGGAGAATTATATTCTTTGTCACTGTGACCGTGGTTGGTTCAACTTAATATCTTAAGCTTAATGAACGTGCTTTGTTCTTTTAACTTGACAATTGGTTTGACAACTCAAATAACACTTTAAACTAATTTTTCAACCTAAGTTCAGCTAACTCACATTTGTAAGGCAGCAAGTGAACGTAGATTTTTAAGCTGAACAGTTCCAAGTTACTGACAGTAAATAAAGGGGAAAAACTGTGTTGGCATGTACATTTCTTCCATAGTTTTTTTTATAAAATATCAAATTTCAAAAGTTGATTGTGAATTCACTTCCATAGAATATGCAGACGTAACTGAACAATTACCACCATCCATTATTATAGACTGACAGTTCAGCTTTGTCTGGACTTGCCTGCTGATAATTATGGAGGGTTCATGTCTATAATAAACCACAGAACACAATGGCGATATTGAAGAAAGCACGAGACCTTGCACTGCCACTGACAAAACCAGTTCTTGGCATTATGTCACCAGTCTTATGGTTTCATATACCAGCCTGTTAACATGCACACACTCACATACAAATATCCAAAAATTTATAGACCCTTTTGATATCGCATATTACAACATATCAAAATTACTTCAACATAATTTTTATCATTCTAATTTTAATTTAACCTGGTCTTAGAATTGGCCTTGAAAGAAGATTTGGACTTTTAACTGAAGTTACTACTCACTGCCTAATGACAAGATTACCAAACCTCACCAACAATAAGTAAGTTACTCAGACTAGATTCAGTCTACTAAATGAATTAAGCATATCTAAAGCTTAAAACCCTTAGTGCCATACTTTAACATTTTTAGTCAGTATAAAAAGATAAGACATTGTTTTAATGGTAAAATCTAAAAATGGTCCTTATTTCCTTATCCATATCACATTAATCAGGTTATGAGCACTGTGAGTTGTCAAGGAAGTAGAAACTAAACAGACAAGAGGTTAAAATTTGCAATGACATGGCAAAATGCATGTACTTTCCATCACACACTTTTAAGCCCCTATTCCTCACCCCACCCTCTAGAAACATTATCCATGATGTCAGAGAGTTTTTTTTTTTTTTTGGGCTCTAACTTCTTCCAACCCTTAGTTTAAATAGTGACACAGACTGAACAGGTGTCACATCTTTACCTGGGATCCTGATAAGAGCATCAGAGCCACCTGGGAGCCACACCTGAGAATAAACTAACACAGGATCTTCATTTCAAGGAGCTGCACATCTTTTTGCTTCTCAACCCAATTTCACCCATCACTGGAAATAAAGACATCTACAGGTAGGCTAAAACAATGTATATAAAAGTCATTATTATCTATTCATTAATTACATCTGGAGTAATATCATATGGTGTACATGTAATCATTGGAATAAGAGTTTCATATATTCTTCTAATGATTTTATCATATTATAATGATTGTAAGTAATTGATAATTATGAAATGTTTTGTAATATCAAGTTAACAATAATATATGTAATCATATATATCTAAGATATAATATTACTCAATTGCTGTTAATGTGTTCAAATAAAATAACAAATAAATTGTTTACAGCATTCTCAAAAACCACAGTATGTTAAATAACATGTTAGACATTTGCTTAAAGAAATACACTCATGTATTCAATACTGTTAAATGATTAGTTTACATACTGATTATCTTTTTTTTTCAATACATCTTCACCTTAAGAAAAAAAAAATATAGAAAATACAGTTTGGGTTTTCAAATGTTTATCACAGGAAATGTAATTAAGGTTGCTATCATTAAATATGGTTCTTCTTTGGTAACGTCTACTGTATGTTCTGCTCCACAACCCCCAAAGAGAGTAGCTTAGCACTGGATGTTTGGTAACATGTTCGGGAATGCAGTGCTGTGTCACTTATAGATTAGGTTTTTTGGGTATTATGTTTACTAAAATATTTCACCTTTAAATATTTCTCAGAGCTCCCCTGATACAATCTCTGTTACTATATAACTAACTGTAGATAAAGTGTCCCATTATATTATTTAACTGAATAATCTTACCCCACCTATTCTAGGTATGGACAACAGACTGGTCCTTGTCGTCCTGTTTGTGACGCTGTCCTGGGTATCTGTGGGCACCTACGCTCAGACCACTGCAGCGCCAAACATGACCACAGCATCAGAAAGCAACATGACAACAGCGGTGGGAAACAACATGACAAGTGCGATGGCAACAAACACTTCGACAGCAGCGGGAGACAATGTGACAAGTGCGATGGCAACAAATATGACGACAGTGGCAGGAAACAACATGACAAGTGGGCCCAATGCGACGATGGCAACAAACATGACAACAGCAGCGGGAAACAATACCAACAACACATCGGCATCACTTGCCACAGCACCTGCCACCACAACAACTGCCACCACAACAACTACCACTACAACAACTACCACTACAACAACTACCACCGTCACCACAGTGGGAATTCTTGAGGTGAGGGATGCCAAACAACAACAACAAAAAAAAAAAAAGAACATAGTGGAATACAATAGAACATAACAGGATCAAGTTAAGGCACTTTTATTGAAGGCATTGTAATTTCATAGAAGTGCAGATTTCCCACCAACTTAAATGTTTCTCATCTCCTTTGCAGTCATCTGTTTCTAACTCAGATTGTGGGACCGGCAAGCTCTGTGCGGCTGAGCCTGCTTCGTGCAACCCTTCTGTAGCAGGATCATGTTTCTTTCTTTCTGCTAAGCAGAACAATGGTCAAACCTTTGACTTTGAGCTCTCAGGAGAGTCAGGCGGCTATCTTGCTGCCACCCTGTCAACCGACGGCACACTGGTATGTCAAGTTTTGTCACCCACTCGCAGATGAAAGCACCATGAAGTCTAACCCAGAGCTAATCATACAGTTTGTTTGAAGTGTAAACAGGTTTTATTTACCGTTTCTGGTTTTGCACCGCAGGGAGGCAACGACACAACCTACGTCTGTGCAAACAACAATGGTGCTGTTAAGTTCTTTGGCGCTCTCCTCAACAATAACCAGCTGACAATGACAAAGGTGAGTTTCACTTGCACTCGAGTAGTGGCGGGGGAAGAGCTGAGTGAGGAATTGGACTTCATTGTAGCTGCATGGCTCAGCTAAATGGCCTATCATCTAAAATTGCACTGCACAATTTAAATACAGTAGATACAGCTGAGCTGATGTGGTTATGAACCTAATTTCAGTGTCTCTACTTCCATTTAATTATATTTTTGTTCTACACGTCAAATACTGACCAGACAATTAGAATGCACAGAATGACACAGTTTTTGAACCTGCTGCTCAAACAATATGAAGGCAAACAATTAAAATCATCACCGTCTGTGTACATACACATTTATTTCATACACATTTAAAAACTCATTGTGTTTTTATGTCTTTGCTCTACAGCTGAACGTGACCACTGTGAGGGGCAGCATCAGTGGTAACAGAATCCAGTGTACATTTGCTGCCACTGTACCAACCACACTTACAAGAGCAGCAAATTTCGCAGTCGGAATTTCCACTGGACCTTTTAACAGCAGTAAGCAAACACTAACAAAGATAATATTTAAGATTTTCCATGTGCTTAAGACATATCAGTGATATTTTCGTCTTTTCCTTGTAATCTCAGCTTCTGGTACTCTGGGAACCCCAGAATTCAAGTTAAGGAGCCCTATTATCAACCTGCAAAGTACTAACAGCACCGTCACCAATGAGCTTGCCAACCACGCTATTACATTCCAACTATCACTGATGCAAGGTAAGCTTACGAGATAGGATTGTTTTCCATGAGGGAGCAAAGTTTTCCTACACGTACTGGGAATTAGGTGTGTGTACAATGCCTAATAAATGATTTTCTGCTCTCCCATTCTCCCCTACAGCTCTGCTGATCAGTGTGGGTGTGCTGGGTCTGTCTATGCAATAAGGAAGCTGAAACCCCCATGAGACATCAAGACAAGAAAACCATACCTTCCCTATTCATATACATGTGCTACTAAATATATTGTTAAATATCTCACAGAAGGTTTACGATGCACAGTGCAGCCCCAGATTATTCTGATCATGCTTAATTTTCTATCAACTTACTGCAGGTGAAAGTAGGAATGGTGCAGGGTGCTGACTCTTCTACAGCCTTCTGCAGACTACTTTCCCATCTGGTATCCCCTCTAAAACAAAGTGTGTGGAATTTAATGTTACATGTAATACAATTTGGTGGGATGGGACTGCTGGATTTCTGTCCTACAATTTATTTAATTACAAATTGCAAATACCCCCAGGTGTAAGTCGATTTTTTAATGATCATTACAATTAGAACCATTAAGAGTAATCAAACATCATATACAAATAACATACAAATTTTGGGTTTAGGGTCTGGTTACCCTTTAAAGCCCACATTATTACTGTCAGGCAGAAACCTCAGTGACTTTCTTTCTATTAACTATACTATTATTTTGGTATCCCTCTGAACATGCCTTTATGAAGAACCATAATAATTTTGCACAACACAAGCAAAAAACTTTTTTTCCTCTCCTGTCACTCATAATGATGCCAGGAAATGGCAGACGTGTCTTATTATTATTATCATTATTATTTTTATTCTCTTTGGTGTGAATGTACATATTGTTGATCATTCAACAATGTTTTTACAATGAAGCCTGCATTGGTTGATATTTTCATGCGTGCATGTATGAGCAAGTACACATGCAAATGAGCAGTTGCTGAAAAAAAGCAGCTATACATATATGATACCAAATATTGGTGAACCTGATTTTGCACATTGCATTATGTAACAATTGAGTTTTTATTACATATTTTTGAAATAAATATTTTACTCAAGCTGATTATTTTTGTGGCATTAATACGTTGTAAGCACACTTGGCTTGGAGGAGCTGGTTATTGGGGTTGGGGTCAGTGCAACTGAGAAGGACAGAGAAGCTAGCGTGACCATAAAATGCTGCATTTGTTTCTACAATTGCACATTTTATGCATGTGTGAATGGCATAGAGAGAAATCAAAGCGAGCAGATTAAAGTAGTTTGGGAGTAAACACTGGTGAAACATTAAATTTCATAAAAATCTCCAGAGAAGTTTGATTCATGATCACTCACGTTTTTCTATCGTCACACATTATATCATCATATCGTATAGGGCTGGGTATTGTTAAGAACCTCACAATTCGATTCGATAACGTTATTGATTTACATGCTTCGATATCAATTCAGTAATAAGTAGATTTACACAAATAATTTATAAAGTACCTCTTGATAATTTTCCGACTCCAAAACCGCTGTCTTTACCTCTGTGTACAGCTTCAGGACGGCGTCTTCCGTCATGTGTTCGCATGTCGGTATGGTGTATCATGGTTCGAGTGTGTATACCATCTTCTTAAAACCCCCGTTTTCCACGACACTGTACGGTCGTAGGTCCTTACATATGAAGACGTCCACAGACTACGTTATCTTCTGTGCGCGGGCAGAATTTGGCGGCACTTTGCAAAGGAAGGATCTGTCGAGTTGTGCCTGTTTAGAATCCACAGGTATAGCCGTGGGTTGCTGCAGAGCATCTGCATGGTGTCGGCTTAAGTGGTTGCGCACATTTTTTGTGTTATTGCAGTATTTTAGTACTACCTGGCACAGCTTACACTACCTTACTTTTTGTCTCTTTCCTGTGTTCCGGGTTTACACTGGAATCCAAAATGACTCCAAACCTCAGCTTCTAAAGTTGAAGGTGCTTGTTTAACACTGCTGCTACCTGCTTCAGTTGCCATGTTGTCGTTGTGTGGTCAAGTGCGGCCTCTGTCCGTACAATGCAAATCACACAAAGGTGTTGCTCACCGCGCCCCCACTGGCCAGGGGCTTGAATTGATTCAGAGGATTTAATTAATCAATATTGAATTGGGAAAAAATATTAGGGCTGCAACGATTCCTCGAGTACCTCGAGTAACTCGATTACAAAAAATGATCGAGGAATTTCCTCTGCCCCAAAGCCTCGTTTAATTAAATCTAAAAATCACGTTTCGCACGAATTCTTTTTAGTGTGAAACAATGTGCAACAGCGTTACTAATGGCGTTATTTTTTCAGTAACGGAGTAATCTAATTAATTACTTTCCCCATCGTTGCAACGCCGTTACCGTTACTGAGAACGTAAAGTGGCGCGTTACTTGCGTTACTATAAGTTGGTTGAATGAAGCGCAGCGGTGTCAGGCTTTCTGACAGACACACATCAGCTGCTGGGAGAGAGCAGGGTGGTGATGATGACACTGTTGCAAATGCGATGATGATTGGCTGGGTGGGCGGATGCCCTGCTCACGCTGTCTCACTGCACGCTGTCTAACTACTACTATAAACACAAGACAGAGACAATGGCGACGAGAAGAAATTCAAAGGTAGCGATATCAAACTGGAAGTACCGACAATACTTCTCGCTTACTGAAGTTAAAGGCAAGAATGTTTATGTAACATGCACTATGCCCAGGAAAAAAAAACTTTATCCACGTCTGCCTCAAGCAACTCAAATCTTATGAAGCACCTCACAGGAACACATGCTAACACGCCACTTGTTGCTGCTGCTAACCCAACCTCAAGCCCAGATGCAGCTAGCGTGAGCTCCAGCGAAGGAGACGGAGCCACTCCATCAAAACAAGCAAAGCTTGATTTTTCGGGTCAGCAACAGGTGGCGACTAGGGCCGAGCTGAACACACTGATTGCAAGGTATCTTGTTGAAAACATGCTACCCCTGTCCATTATTTCTATGCATGTGTCCGGCTGCAATCTATTGAGTTCAAATAAATACCAAATGTTCTAAAATACTGTATATAGTGTTTTTATTCTTCATTCAGTTATTACAAACATATTTTACATTATAAAAGATGTTATAGAATGTAATAGCATTATAGAACATAAAAAATAACCTCAGTTACTTTGCTGAGTAACTAATTACTTTTACAATGTGGTAACTGGAAGAGACAGAAGATGTCGAAGGTGTGGGATCATTTTAAATTAAAAATTAAGGACAACATTGTAGTGTGTGTAAATTTGGACATTTTAATTTTATTTTTGATACTTAGAAAAAATAAGTGGTTAACAATTTTATTTATTTTATTGAATTTTATGTCTCAGGAAATGAAGTGAATTTGAATGAAGTAATTATATTATTTATATTGGAAATTTGAAACGGTTTACTACTTTACATAATATGTATAATAATAAATAAATGTAAATTTTTCTTAAATAGGAAAAAAAAATGTTTTTATTATTAAGTGATCTGTCTTGTTTTCCTTAATATATTTAAAATTGGGCTATAATTAAGCAAAAGTATGTTTTATCCAATTACTCGATTAATCGATGGAATATTCGATAGAATACTCAATTACCAAAATGTTCGATAGCTGCAGCCCTAAAAAATATGCAATGCATTGATGAATCGATATTTTTACCCACCCCTAATATCGTATAGCCCTACATTACACCTTACGGTACAATTACTGAGCTGTGTGGAGCATGTTCTACCCGTGTTTGCATGGTTTTTTCTGGGTGCTCCAGTTTCCCCCAACATCAAAACATATAGGTAATTATGTTACGACCCCCCTATAATGGCTCACTGAAAAAGAAGGTCCAACATAATCGCAAAGACAGAACAGCAAACACAATCAATACATTTATATTTAAAACAGTGTGAAAGAACGAACAAAATCAGTCAAAACTGCTACATAGGATATAAACTCCTTTTTCAGGAGAACCAACCAAACACAGCCTACAGCAGAAAACACTGCTGCACTCAACAGCCTTACCAGAACTGCAAATTCCTGAGTCACTAATTACTGCACACTCACAGAACAGCACCGAACACCAATAAACCAACAAAACTGTTCCCACAAAGTTACCCAAAAGCATGACACAGCACAATCTGGCCACAGACAAACTACCAAAACATACATCTTAAGAGTACGCCTACTGCCACTAAAACCTCTGAAATATTTCAGTAAGTTTGAATCCCCAAATGATGTTACAACCCTCCCCCATAATGGTTCATTGAAAAAGAAGGTCCAACGTAATCACAGACAGTGTCCCAAACACAGTCAATACATTTATTTTTAAACAAGGAAAAAGACCAAACATGCCAAACAGTAAGTTGGCCCCCCACTGCTCCCAACACCCTGCTCAAATGCAGAGAATGAATTTCCCTACGGGGATCAATAAACATATGAATAGTTAACATTAATAACAGAAAGTAATGGCACAATGATGATATGCCATTGTAGCATATCGTCAGGGTAATCCAAAGAAGAAGAAGAACAAGGGAATAACTATGTGGCCGGGTGACATTTTTGGTACTATGAAATAGTGGCAGAATGAATGGCAGTATCCATCTTCGCGGTGGCAAGGGGGGAATGCGCCGGGGCTTCCGTCCCGGTGGTAAACTAACTCGACGACAAGCAAATACAGATTAGCTGAACAGGCTAGTGAACAAGCAACAAAAAGTTAACTTAGTTATCAACAGTTATCAACAGAACAAACAAACAATAGGCCCCATCTCTCAATGTAAACGCAGTGTTTTTCCTGCATCCTCTGCAACATGCTTACTGGTTCACTGCCACTGATGACATTTACTAATTTTACTCTTCATTTGATCGATCCAGAGTATTGAAGCAATTCGGCCGGTGCCATTAAAGTATCAAAGTCAAGTCCTTGTGTTTATTTCCTGTACCCAGCTAACAGCTTTTTTTCTACCAATTAAAAGGCTTGCCATGTTTAATTAATGAAAAAGTCAATGTGGAGCTAACGTAATGACTGTGGGGGATTTTATTATCTGCTCTAGTTTTTCCAACTTTTGTACACAGCTATGGTAATAGGCCTAATAATGGTCCAAAAAGATGTGAAATTGCATATTTTGTTTTGAAAAATGTTAAATTTCTTGTTTCCCACAAATCTAGGGAAAATGCTAAAAATGCTGAAATTTTAAGCTATTCCAGCGCATGTGAATATGGGCAGGTGCTGCTGAAAAAAAAAATCCAGGGAAAACACTGTGATATCCACCACACCATACCGTTAAGCCCCTATTCCCCACGTCACCCTCTATAAACATTATCTGATGATGATGTCAGAGTTTTTTATATCCTGACTCTTCCCAACCCCTTAGTTTAAATAGTGAGACAGAGTGAACAGGTGTCACATCTTTACCTGGGATTTGCCAGCGGTCCACCTGTAAGGAGAATAAACACAGGATTTTCATTTCAAGGAACTGCGCTGACTTTTGCTTCTTAATCCAGTTTCACCCATCCCTGGAACTAAAGACACCTACAGGTAGGCCAAAACCATGTATATATAAAGACATTAAAATCTATTCATAAATTACTTCCTTTTCCACGTTTTGCAATTAGTGACACTTTTATTACCATTTAAGATAAAATAATATAAGCTCTACCTTTATTAATTGCCGTAGGAAAAATTCAAGTCAGACACAGCAGCATAGGGGAATGTAGCTCAAAGAGTACAGAGTGTACAAGAACAATAAAAATCACAAAATAAAAATATTAACAAAATATAATAGAAAATATAAGACTATAAATGGCATATGCAGTAAAATGGTGTGCAAAGAACTTGAGCAGTTTTTTTCCCCATATATTTATATATTATGATGAAGTTATTAATTGACAATTTTGAACAATTTACTTTAATATTAAGTTATGTTTTATATTCTAAATTGAAACCGGATTCCTGTTAATGTGTTAAAATAAAATTGGAATCTTTTTCCAGTGAACGACCACAGTTAAGTTCGATTAAATGTCGACGTATTTTCTTGTTTTAATAGGAATAAACATTCATGTTTTCAATACTGTTAA